GTTCTCTTTCCGAATGCTCTAAACCAGAATAATGCATTCTAATAAATAAAGTGAAGTCATTAGAGATCAAAGATATTACGACGTTTATAAAACGAGTGATTATCGAAACGTACTTGTTATTTTCCTCTTCATCTTCTACCTCATCATAAGCATGATTGTCTTCATCGTCCTCAACGGTAAAGTTTTTATCTCCAGTTGATCTTTGTCCACAAATTGCCCAACTGCTCATTGCGCATAATCGCTTAAAATCATTTTCCGTAATTCCAAAGTCTTGAAGATATTCTTGGTATGGAAACATATGATAACGACAAAGTTGATGACAACAAAGCGCTATGATAATTCCGACGACCGGATTCCTGTTTGGAAAATCAGAAATAAGAAATAGTTGAATTAAAACAGTCATTCAAAACTAGTAAATTTACCCATCTGTATTAGACTTTGCGTGATTGACCAATGATTTTAAAGTGATGTCTGTTGCCGATCCGCAAAGATGTTTGGAATATACCACAACATCTTTACCCTTTAAAAGGTCTAATTTTGATAAATCCAAATCTTTAATATCCATTCCAATACGCTTCACTAATGATTTCTTTTCTGAAGTGCCTCTTATTACATTATCAAACTTTAAAGTAGAATTGAGATTTGTCAAAATATATTTCGATTGAATTATGTTGTCCGCACAAAATACAAGATGTCATCAAACCTTGCAACGCGTATTCTTACGATCTATCAAAATGAAAGAAGCCGAGCCTTCATCCTGAACAGCTAATTTTGTGAAATAAGACAATTCACCTAAATCAAGGGATTAATCATTAGAAATGAGGAACTGACATAAAAAAATAAAATAAAATTTGAATCTTAATTACCTTTACCGGATCCATATTCTATGAAACAAGCATCTTTGCGTAGCAATTGTAACCTTTTTAAATGACCGATTAAAGAAGCCTTATTCCAAAAAAATAAAAAAAAGAATGAGTTTACACGATCAACATAAAAAGTAGTTAAGATCTCACTAAAAAAGGATTTATTCATACTTGCTGAACCGCATGCTTTCCATTTTTAGTTGATTCCCTAAAATAAATTATAATGATTATGTATCAAACACAAAGAAAATTATAGAATGTAAAATGAATTCCAAAGGGGGGCATACTTTTTTTCCTTTAAAACAAGATGATCCAACACTTCCGTCTTTATACTAGGGACAAGCTTTTGAAACCATTGATTTACATTGTTTATCAGTATATCTAATGTTTCTTTAGAAAGATGTGAAAGAGTCACTTTTTCTTCAAATTCAGGGAACGGTAAAGTACAATTGATGTTCAAAGAGAAATATGATGGAATTGGTGGAGGACGAGCATTACATTTTTTTTCTAAATGTTTTTCGAGTTCATCCTTATTCACTGTACTTGATGAATGAAAAAGACAACGTTATTAACAAGGTGAAAATAACTGAAAAGTTTACGTCACGTGACTCACTGCGATGGGTCATAGGGGCAGACAATACGTTCTTTGTCTTTTCTCTTTGCATCATAAATTGCGTGTTCTCCACAAAAGTCATTATCGATCTTTGTTGGAAGATGACAATATCGCCTATGAAAAAAAAGGTTAAATTTAATAAGATTATGTTGGATCCTTTGCATTTAAATCGTAGGTATTGGTTGACGTACGAGACTAGTTTACCTCTTACGTTTTACCCAAAAATGACATTGACGAGGCTGTAAAAATAATTAATCAAAAATCTCGTTTATTTATTATTTTTGATTAAATTCTTTATATAATTCACTTAATTTATACAAATTTTATCTCTTTTACCAAAACATACATTATCCGAAGGAGGTGGTGGAGGAGTTTCTTTCTCCTTTTGACGCTTCGCTTTAGGTTCTTTCGGCATATTTTTGAACTACAAACCAAATAAAAATCAAAAATAATAAGCTGGAGAGTTATGTTGTGTATCCGTGTTACTGCAATCGATATCACAGACATTTGTTCAACTTTATTCACTGGTCTTTTACCTAACAGGGAATAACCGCAGTATAAATTAAATTGAGAAAATTCCAGTAGATTGGGAAATTCGGTACGTTTTGTGTTAAATAACTCCATTTGTGCAAAATGTCACTTTTTTAAAACAAATAACACAAATAAACTCATTATTACCTTTTTTTTCTTATCATTTGATTTATCTGAACAAAGGGAACTTTTACAATATATAGTCTTGACTTTTTTAAAGTTTGTACAGGATTGTATATATCATATGATACATATTTATACTTTATTATAAAGAATTCTGTTGTGCGCCTTATTGATTATCGGCAGTTGTCACACGCTTATTACAGAATTCTCGCTTAAATTCTTGATACAAAGTGCTTTATTTTATATAATTTAGTAAAAAAAAATAAAATTTACGATTCTTTAAAATACCTTGTGCAAATTCATTAACCTCATGTTTGCAGCAAACGATTTCGACCCAGGATTTTATTTCACTTCACCACCAGATCTAATTCCAACTAGTGAGAGTGACTTGGAAGAAAATAATAACGTACAAGAGGAGGATATAGAAACAAGTCATACTGACACAGTGGACGATCTTTCAAACGGACGTCATTATGGCGATTACAATACAATAAATATGGATTTAGATGGTGAATACACTTCTGACGAAGAACAGCGTCCTCGTCCGACGCCAACAACAAGTCATACTTTTCAACGACTTGTTGACCCTCATGCTACCCGTCACCACCATAGATCTTCCTCACAACGAAGTCATGGCTTTTCTCCGTTAGGAACGCGGTTTTCCTCGTTGCGGAGACAAAATGCAATTACATCTTCCTTTCTTACACAACATGTTAAAAATAATAACGAACTTTCCAAACAAGCTATATCCGATAATGGCTCAAAGGATTCGAGGCAATTTCATTTGCCAGAATCTAGTTTTTTGCGTGCTGGAATGTCGTTTACCGGAACGCAAAATTTAATGAATTCACATCCTCAGCAAAGGGACGAAGAATGGGAAGTTAAAGTGGTAAATATTATTTAAATAATTTTTTTGATAAATCAATTAGGATTATCTTTAATTAATTCTTTTTTTTTTTTTTTTTTAATAATATAGACAATTCATTATGTAAATTATAAGACAGGAACCGTTATAGGATTAATGGAAGCTTTGAATGTACCAAATAGTTCAAACACCGTTGTTACGTATTGGGAAGGTGAAATGATTGATTTCGTTAACCATTTTCTTTGGACGGATAAATGGAATTCTAGCCCGGAAATTGATCTTCAACATTGGAAGAAATTCGAAGCCTTCCGTCATATGGATGTTCGAAGGTATTAATAATTGCAAAAGTTCTAAAGTTTTTTAAGATTGACAAGCTCTTACTAAACCTATTTTTTATAATTAGTGTAATCAGAGGAACCCCAACTAGAGAATGGTTTCAAGAAGCATGTCAAAAATATATATTCATGAGATGGAAGGGTGCGCATTTTATATATTTTTTTGGTCGTTACACGAGATATTGATTTTTTTTAGGAGATGCATACTTATATGAAATTTTACATTTATGTAGAGCATTATTTTGTTAACGTAACTGCTCAGGAAAGTGGATTAACTATTGCCGGATTTTATTATATTTGCATTAGGAGGAGTGATGGAGCTATTGAAGGTAATTTTAAAATTTCAATTATCATTAATTTATTTGTATATGGACCATAACTTTTATTTCTTTACTAGGTTATTATTTTGATCCTGTTTCTACACCGTACCAAAAATTGACCCTTAAACCATTATTAGAAGGGAATGGAATTTCATTCTGTGATTATAGTCTTAATTAACAATTATTCGACAAGAAAAGAAGCTTTTTTTTTTATTTTGAATTCATTTCACTTATATATATATATTCTGGCAAAATACATCTATATTTTTCGCATTTAACGTTAGTAAATACCCAACATTTATCCGCAAAAAAATATATATATATATTAATATATATATTTTTCATTGCACAAATGAATATCTTTTGTAGTATAGTTTTAAGGATTTTTTTTTTCTTTCTTATTATTATCTTAACCTTTATACATATACGGTATATATATAGTTTTTTTTTTAATTTTCTTTTTTCTTTTTTTTTTTTTTTAATAATTTTTTTTTTTTCAAAGAAAAAAAAACAAAAAAAAAAGTCGAAATCAATTTTTTTTTTTTAATTAAAAATCAAAGAAAATACACGAAATTTATATTTAACTTTTTTTTTTTTTTAAAAAAAAAAAGAAACCAAAAAACAAAAAAAAAAAACAAAATAAAGTTAGCACGGAAAAAGTTTTTTTTTTTTTTTGAATCTAATTATTTACAAAATTTATTATTACAAGGCAAAAAAAAAAAAAAAAATTTTTCTTATTAAAAAATCATTGAAAATTATCAAAAATTCTAACAAATTTGAAAATACTTTTAATATTAATATATAAGTGGTATTACTTTTAAAAATTATAATTTAAAGATTTTAATAACCATTAATATTGAATTTAAGTAATGTACCCATTTTACTTAATACTTCATGAGTTTTTTAAATATTCTTTTTTTTTTTTTTTTTTTTAAAAAAAAAAAAAAAAAAAAAATCCAGATAAAAAAAGTCTATCTTTCAAACTTTGCTTATCATTACAAGATATTCATTCAAGGGGTGATGAAAGGATAAAAGAAGGGGTAAAAAAAAGTGAAAAAAGTGGGAAATAAAAAGAATAATAGGTAAAAAAAAAAAAAAAAAATTAATTACAGAGAAAATAAATTTCAAAAATTGGACATGTAAATTTACACAATTTAAAACAGATTATCCTATTAGGGTTGTAATTTTGCTAATATTATTTTTTATCCTTTGCGTTTTCGTGAAAAATTGAGGAACGTTTAATTATTATATACTATAAAAATAAAAAGAAAAAAAAAATGCAAAAAAAAGGTAAATTAAACTTTAAGAACTATTTTATTTTAAATCAAATTCCCAGTAAATATTACTAAATCATAATTGCCATTGATAATCTGATTCTGTTGCAGGAAATGTTAAATGATTTGTTGTATTGTTGGCATAAATAGATGTAGAAGTGGATGTTTGTAAAGTCTGTGGTGGCCGATTCCTTCCTCCTGTCGTTGTTGAAATTGGCGATGGAGCAATAGGGATGTAATGTCTTGAATTGGTTGAGGTTGATACAGTAGATGTATTATTATTAATGGAAAGTAAATGATGCTGTATTGGTGATGTATTCGGTGGCGATGTTGTCCTTGACATTGCTTGCTGTTGACTATATGAATAATAATGACTATGTTGAAATGATGGTAAAAGAGGAGGAGTAGGGAAAGAAGAAGGCTGAACGATGGTAGAGCTCGGATCTACTACCACTATAGGTAAAGAGTTCGGTGACGTTGGTTGAATACTTGCGAGACTTGAAATCTCCAATAACCCTTGAATACTTGGTAAATGTATTCCAGAACTTTGAGAAGTATTAACGGTCTTGTTATCATTAGGAGATGTAGGTGAGCGAATAGTTGCATTCAATTCTTCGGGTCCATTACGAAAGGGTAGAAATTCATTAGTTGAATTATTTGGATATTGATAGTTAATTTGTGAATATTGAATTCCATTAGGCCCTGTGGGATTATTATTAGAAATTGTTATATGTGATGGTGGTGAATTTGGCATAGGTGAGGAAGGAGGATAAGTTGAAGATTTTGATAGGAGCGGTGATATTTGTAGGCCTTTTGATTGAAGGGAAGACGAAGTTCCATTTACTTGAACATGATTGGAACCAAATATCGATTTAGAATCCCCGGACTCAGATTCAATATAATATACATTAGGAAGACTTGATTCTGAAGGTTTAATTCTTTTTGAAATTGGGTTAAGCTGAGATGAATCCAGACTGGGCTTTCTCAAAAGTGATTTTGATGGCTTTCCTTCAGATTTTCCGACGCTGATTTCCGAATCAGATTCAATTACAACCACATCATGATCCGGTTCAACATTCTCTTTCACTTTATTATTTTTCAATTTAGTGTTATTTGGTTGAGGCAGTATAGAAGATTCTTTTTTAAATGTCGACATGGTTTTCTGTTCCAAATGGTTGGAAATGGAAGAGGTCAATACTTCAGAGCTTTCAATAACAGATTTATTATGAACCGACGTTTTCTGTGATTGTTCCAACTTTGACAATGCAGAGTTATTAAATGTAGAACCCTCATCCACAGTTTTCCCATCATTTTGTGATTTTGAATTAAGCCATAGAACTACATCATCTCCATTCTCCAATTTTCTCATTTCCTTTTCGCGTTTATCCATACGTTGGGTGACCAACTGAATTAACGAAAAAAAGGAGGAAAAAAAAAAGGTTAACTATTTATTTATAATTTTCAAAGAGAAACGTATATTCGACAATACCTTTTCAATTAATTTATCAAGTTTCCGTCGTTTTGAAAGCTTTTCGTTGTCGTTGGTATCTGTATTTTTCTGTAAAATCGCCAGAGTATCATTAACGCGCTTTGATATTAATGATTTAATATGAAGTTTGGCCAAGGCAAGCGTCCTAAAATCTTGATCTATTGATCTATCAAACTGCAATACAAACATTAGATGTAAATAAAATATAAATAATTCCTCTTCTTTTTTTGATTCCTCAAAAAAAAAAAAAAAAAAAAAATGTCTAACCTGTAGGACACTTTTCCTTAAGAAATTCATTAAAAAAGATTCATACTGTGAATCAACGAATATTCGTTGACCATTCCTATTCTCACACTCTAAAACTTGTCCGGCATAAGTCTGTCTTGTTTCTCGAAGAATTGTCTGTTTCCAAATTAAAATAGTTTATTTGGGGGATCTCATCATTTTAATAAATTTCAAAATCATTCAAGACTACAAAAGGTAACGTTATCATACCATCAATGCGCAGCTTAATTGTTGCATAACATTCGGACAAATATACATTTGACGATTTACATTAAAGGAAACCTTGTTCGCCTTCAAATTCGCTTTTCCTTTGCCCTTCCATATTTTACCAGTTTTCGTTCTATTAACTAATGGTACCGAATTATTAATATCACCATTCATACTAGACGATTCAAAAGTTCTAAAAACGCTTATTGAATTGACTAGTCCGTTTATGCCTATCCCCTTTGAACCGATTGAAGGGCAAGTTGTGGTTGATATGTTTATAATAAATCCTGCACTATTTGGGAACTATAATCAAAGATAATTACAAAAATGGAAAAACCAAAAAAAAAAGAAATATATTTAAAGAATTTTCTTAATTATCTCACCTCAGACTGTATCGCTGTATTCTTTATGATATCAGATTGAGTAGGAATTGAATTTGAATTTGATTGAAAATTGCTTATTTTTTTTTTAAAAAAAAAAAAATATATATACGTTAAACAAATGGCCAAAAAAAGATCGAATTCCAATAAAGATGGAGCAAATGCGGATTTATTCATAAACGTGTAATCACACAATTAAATATTATGAAGTACCTTCGATACCACCCAACAAATTCTAAATTATTATCGGTAAAAATTTTAATGGCGTTTTCACGTGAGTTAATCATTTCTTGCACTTCATCAGTCAATAATGAAGTGACAATTCTACAAAATTTTTTTTTGATTCAAATTTGTCGTTAGAATTTGCTGCGCCCCATAAGATTGGTGTTACTTTGCCTCGGGATAATCGTCAAAATTTACCTCTCTGATGCTACAAATTGACTAACACGACAAACAATAGTGTTTTCAGAACGATCTACATCACATGAACCACCCAAGTAGCCCAACACTTCATGTTTAACGTCAGCATAGGCGCAGTCCAACAATGCTGAAATTACAGATTCGTCAATAGACAAACGAAAATTACTACATTATGACAAGGAAAGAAAAATGTTTTTTAATATTTTGAGGGAAATATATACATTCTCGCCATCTGGGAAGGGGGACCTTAAAGAAAATCCCTTGACACAATAAATACGGAGTCTACACTAGATTTCTTCTGACCACTCACAATGTAATTGGGAAGTGACTTGCTTACCCAACTGGGTCGTCAACTTTTGAAGTTGTAGCATTTTTGGTTTGTCGGGAATTGCTTCGACTGGGATTTGAGACCATTCCCACCGTACGATCTGTAGCTGAGGATAATCGTCGCGAATTTGTTGATTCAACAATTGTTTTGTTCTGTTGTTGAGGGCTATTTATGGGTTCTGGACTAGTCACATTACCGTTAAACATTTGTTTGCCATTGACTATAGGGTTGTTTGCATGTGACGTGCCGACACTGTCAGTTTTTTGGGGCATCTTCAGACGATCTATAAAGGAAAAGTAACTAGATTGTTCGAAAAGTATAAGTGAGAAATATTTTAAAACCTAAACCAAGTTGTTTTTTGTTATTGTAATCCCGAAGGGAGACCCAGATTGTTTGAAATGATGAGACTTGACCCTCGATGATTAACTGGTTTATGTTGGTTTTTTTTATGAGTAATCTGCGATTCGAAGAAATTGGATTTCGGTGAGAATGGAGATCTTACAAATGATCGTGAGTTTAGTTTGCAAGATCGTTCGAAAACGCAAGTGAGTTTTTCCTGTTTACTACAAAGAAAAGTTCGATGGTACACACTAAAAACACTACAAACTGGCATATCAGTTTTTTTAGTGTTTTTTATGAGGCTCTGAGATTTTTTTTTTTTTTTTTTTTTTGTCGTTTGGGGCGCCGTTTAGGTATGATTTGATTCTAGGGTTACCGTGTTAAAAACTGTCTAACCAGGGTCGTGCACCATATGGCCAATCAAAATTGTTAATAATATTGAAATTCCGTTCATATTGATCCACATGCATACTTTGTAAAACTGAGGGAAAAACTTACTGATTATGTTTGATAATAACATAATTTATTACTTTTTGTTTGATAGGTAATTATTTACATCAAAAAAAAAAAAAATAAAATATTATTAAAAAAAATGTGGAATTTTTGATATTTGAATAATATATATATATATATTTTTTTTTTTTTTTTTTACAAACCTCCTTTTCCCTTGTTAAAAACTATAAATATGTGGAAAATCATATACGTAATAAATAATCGAAAATGATTTACATTCATTATTTAAAAAAAAAGAGAACTAAACTCCCTTTACGATCTGACTGATCTGTTGATGATAATAATACAATTAACTTTTTTTTTGTTTTTTTTTTTTAAGGTTGCTTTCTAACGTTATTGTTTTTCTTTTCTGTCAAGTAAATGGAAAAGGAGACAGTAAACATATGCCAATCCAATATGAAAAAAAAAAACAAATATATATATACACAACACACATATAATGAATAAAAAAAAAAAAAAGGAAATACATTGTCCCATTTAATTTTGGGTAATGATAAGATATTGTTCTTTGAAAGAATCTTCCTCATTTTGATAATGCCTGAATTTAAGCAGTACCAAGACTTGGAAAAGCTCTTTGATCATCAATGTTGACGAATCCACTACGCCCGCCACCGCGACGACGGTTATCACGATTGTCATTATCATAATCGCGATGACTGCTACGTCCATCGCGGTCACCTCCACGACCACCACCGCGACCACGACCACCGCGACCACCACGTCCGCGTTGAAATCCACCTCCAGGTCTTTCAGTAAAAGTTGGCTCAATTTCCAAATAATTTTTAGCTTTAGATTTCTTACTCTTGAGACGATAAGATTGCTCCTAAATGAATTGAATTATTTCATCAACGATTAGATAAAATCAACATCTTTAAAGACAAATTTCAATATATTATTTTACTAACTTTTCCGGTAAAAAGGAAATCTTCTTCGTCTTCTTTTTCAAGGGGAATAGCATCTTTCCACTGAGAATCATCGGTTCCCTCATTGGGTTTTCTAGCTTCGGGAAGTGAAATATCTAAAGATTTTAAGGCCTTTTCGGCAAGGTATTCATCAAAAGTCTTTACGACTTCCTCGGGCTCATGAACTGGAGTAGATTCATCGGCGGCAGTATTCTCAACTTGATCAATCGTAACTTCCTCGATTTCAGGTTGTTGTACCCAAGCATTAGAATCATTTCCAGTATTATCGGCATCCCAGCCAGTTTTTTCTTCGGTTTTATCTTCTCCCCAACCACCACCAGCATTGGCATCAGCATCAGATGTCGCAGTCCAACCAGAAGACTCGGTAGTTTCGGTCGTCTCGTTCCAAGTTGATGTTTCGGTCTTATTGGTATTATCCCAACTAGAAGTTTCGGTTGTAGTAGCATTTTCCCACGCAGGAGTTTCATTTGTCTCATAAGGGGTGGCAGCATCCCCCCACGCTTGGGTTTCTTTCTTTTCACTATCACTGTTAAATAGAAGATAAATGAATTTTATCAAATAATCGTAATGGGTACGATATATTAATTAATACTTACTATCTGCCCGTTCCACTATGCCTATCATGTTCACGTCCACCACGTCGACCTCCGCGGCCTCCACGACTTCGATCGTTTGGACGAGCACCACGTGAATTCCTTGTAGGATAATCACCGCCTGCACCACCACCGCCTTCTTCACGACGACCGGAGAGACGAGGGCCTACATTTCTATCACGGGGAGCTGCACAACACAATAAATAAATTAGTAATTTCTAAATGAAAAGTATAAAAAAGGGGGTGGTAGTTTAAAGAATTCTCATTGAAAACATTTCAAAAAAATTGTTTTGAAACGTTGTTAACAAAAAAATGATCGCAAGATTTTCGAGAGATCGCGACACAACGGTTTTAAAAATGCTGCGTTTATGTATTTATTTATTTATTTATTTTTTTACAGATTATATTTACATGATAACAAATACATACCAGATCTCGTATCCTCATTTCTGCTTGAGGTAGAAGGTTTAAAACCACCTCTTTGAGGATAATCGTGACGAATTCTAGCCTCTTTAGGACTTGCACGAGACCTATCAACCTTTTTAACGATTAGTGTTTCTTTTGCTGGAGCTGGCTCTTGCTGTTTAACAGCGGACTCAGCCTCTTCACTTTCACCTAATAGGTCGAATGGATTTCGACTTGCTACACTCGCCATTATTAGGAAACGTTTTGATGGATGGATAAAGACAATCCGTTATAATTGTCGCGCCTTTATTTTTTTTCCTAAAAAAAAAAAAAAAAAAAAAAAAAAATACACCATATATGGGTTTATAATTTCTAATTTATACTTGATTAAATCGATTCCCAAAATTCTGACATGATCTTTGTCATGTGAATAGAATCTATAAAAATGTGATAACGATCATTTTCAATTACCCAAAAGATTTTGTTTTTAACAAATTTTTTTCTAAACGAATTAAAAAAAATAAAAATTGTAGAGAAACCGATTATTATTTTAATCGTTTCTTTTTATTACTTTAATTTGTTTAAAAAATTGTATAATAATAATATTAATAAAAACAAAAAAAATGGATTAATGCTTAACCAACATCTTTAATGCATAACGTCACCGGGTACGTCAGCAGTTTCATGATTTTCGGTAACATAAATATCGAGTTCAAAAAAAATTTTTTTTCTACTTTTTTATCGCGACTATTTTCATAGTTCGCGTTTTTTTTATCCTTTTCTCCTTCACGAATTAAAAAAAAAATATATATATTTTTTTATTTTTTTTTATTCAAGTATTTAAAAGTAGTTTAAAATCATGTTACCTACCACGAACCCTATAACGATCTCGCAGAATACCGCTGTAATTGTTCATCCTTTGGTACTATTATCTGTGGTAGATCATTATAATCGTGTAGCTGAAAGTACTAAAAAGCGTGTTGTTGGAGTTCTTTTAGGACAAAACAATGGCAAAACCGTTAATGTGGCAAACAGTTTTGCTGGTATATATTTAAGAACCTATTCCTTTTTTTTGTACTTTTTTTTTAAAAAAAAATAGGTCGTCTAAAATTAAAACTTTTTGAATTGGATAATAATAATAATTGTTATAGTGCCCTTTGAGGAAGATGAAAAAGATCCATCTGTATGGTTTTTGGATCATAATTATGTTGAAGCCATGAATGACATGTTTAAGAAAGTCAATGGTAAGGAGGTTGGTCACGATTTGCCTTCATTCCATCATTCATTTTCGTAAACACTGAAAAAAACTATTTAAATTAATAGCCAGGGAGAAGATGATTGGATGGTACCATAGTGGTCCTAAACTTCGTGCATCAGATCTTGAAATTAATGAATTATTCAAAAGATATACATCCAATCCAGTTCTAGTTATCGTAGATGTAAAACCAAAAGATATAGGCATACCAACGGATGCTTACTTTGCCATCGAAGAAATCAAAGACGTTAGTGATCTTTTTAAATATTAGCCTTTTTTTTAAATATATTTATATATATGTATGTATGTATATAAGTACATGTATGATATTTATTTATATTAAAATGTTTCTGCTAATTTTTGATATCCAAAAGGATGGAACGGCGACCACTAAAACGTTTATGCATGTTCCCTCACAAATTGAAGCGGAAGAAGCCGAAGAGATAGGAGTAGAACACCTTTTACGTGACATCAAAGATAATGCAGTTGGCACCTTATCGACCCGAGTTACAGATCAATTAAATTCTTTAAAGGGTTTACAGTCACGCCTCGAGGAAATTCGTGAATATTTACAAAAAGTTGTTAATCATCAATTACCAATTAATCATCAAATAATCTATAACCTTCAAGATATTTTTAATTTACTGCCAAATCTTAATGTTAGCGATACTGTTAAATCATTTTCTGTAAAGACAAATGATCAATTATTGGTGATTTATTTGTCTTCTTTAATTCGTGCTGTTATTGCGCTTCACAATTTAATTAATAACAAAATTGAAAATCTCAAAGGTGAAAGTGTTCAACAAATTGAAGAAGAAAAAAAGGAAGAAAGTAAAACTAAAGAAAAAGATGTAAAAGATAAAGAGGGAGGTGAAACAAAGGAAGGGAAAAAATGAAATATCTTTATTAGTTAAATTCATAGATGATATGATTTTTTTTGTACTATGCTTAGCAATAAAAAGTGAAATATACATATTTGCAAATTCCTTTTGCCCATAAATTTCTCTTATTTATTTATAAGTTCAAAACTAGTTTCACCATCCTTGGTGGTAACCTGAACCATTTTTCCGTGAGGTGCGGGTACAGTTCCATTAGTATAATCAAATATACGCCTACACATATATATATTTTTTTTAAAAAAAAAACATAAAAATTAAAAATAAATTAAAATGAGATGAATAAAATAGAATAATCAAATGAAGGTAAATTTAAAGCTGGAAGACGTATACTTACTGAGACAATAGATCTAAAGGTATCCACTGAGAGAAATCAGCATCTGGCATTCCTTTACGATTATCTGGAGTGTCAATCGTTCCCCTAATTAAGAATATTATCGAAATTTATCTCGAACATTTTTGGTAGCGAACAAAGGATTTAACGGAACGAGACTTACGGTAAGATGGCAAAAGATTTTACGCTTTTTGGTAATCCGCTGCCTTTTGAGACTATACTATCGAATAAATGGTGAACGGCGGCTTTTGCAACTCCATATCCAATATATACTAAATTCATAAATAAATATTGTTATTATTTTTTTTTAAAAATATATATATATATATATTATATATACCTGGAGTAGGTTGCAAACCGGATACGCCAGTTAACATCAAGAGACCATCCCTAATAACATCGCAGGGGTATCATCTCAAAATTGGGAATTTCCTTACCATTTACAAGTAATCAAAATTATATTTACGTACTCTTTAAGGTTCACCGTACTCATTTTCGACGCGATCAAAGCGGAATTCAAAATTTTCTTCACCATTAAATCCACGGTTTCAAAGAAATCTAAATCAAAACGTTTTTAAATTTTTTTTTTTTTTTTAAAAAAGAACGAACGTAGAATTACAATAAAAATTGCTATCAAAAAGGAAATCCCAATTATTTACCCCCTTTGGCTAAATTCCCCATGGAAAAACCACCAGCCACACACAAGATAGCGTCATACTTTTCGCCGCCATCAAGTATTGAATTGGAATCTTTCATAACTTTCTTCCCTTGTACTTCTAAAGAATCATCATTTGAAACTATAATATTATGAGTGGCTTCTTCAATTTGACGTGTTCCAACTGAAGTCACTTCCTAAACCGCATTATCACACGCGCAATTTAAAAATAACACGCTTTGAAATGTGCAATTTCAAGTAATTTTGATAGCTTACCCAATTATTCTTTCTGAATAATGTGATTAAACTTTTGCCTAAGTTACCAGAACCTCCAAAGACTACAACTCTAGAAGTCATGTTTAATTTGAGAGGAAAAAAAAAAAATAAAAATAAAAATAAAAGAAAAGGTGATTTTTATTTATTTATCTTTTACAGTAATGTAATTTTTCATTGTTTCATGTGATGCCGGATCTGAAACCTCCTGAACTTATCGGAAAATTTATACTGCGCTTTACGATTTGAGGCGGCGATATTCGGTTGTGATTGCCTAAAAACAAAAATAACTAGATATGCTTAAACATAATATGAAAATCTTTTAATATTCACACACTAAATCACATCAAAATTTCTAATTAGTTACTGTATTTCTTTTTTTATGATTCTTATTGTATTTTCACGAGTTAAAATCACCAGAATAGAAATTAATTTTTTTTTTTTTTTATTATTGTAAAAGTAAAAATTTAATATAGATACAAAATTGTTTTGTTAAAAACGCCAAAATAAAGGAAAATGTACATTTATAAATTTTAAAAAAACAAGAATTTCTTGCAAAGAAATTACTAAGGCTTTTTTTTTGGTGAGATGTTTTCTATAACGAAAATAAATGAGTATATATGTAATAACTACTATTGATAATATCTTCAATTCTACTATGATAATAAATAAGTATATATAAATTATAATATTATTATTATTTCTTTGTCTTATTTTATCTCGTTAGAGCTTCCCCTTTCGGTTTTTCAGCTTCCATATTATATCTTGCATTAGTCATTTCTCCCTTGGGTTTCATTTTGTCGCGCCTTATTTTTTTCTCTGTTAATCGACGCGTTCAATTTCTGCTGAATCACTAATTCATTGTCATTATATACAGTGAGCCAATCGCAGAAATGGTTGGTTTTAATATGCTAAGTGAAAAAAAGGTAGCAAAATTTAATGATAATCAAAATAAATTTCGATTACAATTTAATTAGGAAAAAAAAAAAAAAAAATCATCTACATTATGTAGCAAAAGCAAATAATAATAATTTTTTTTTTTAAAAAAAAAAAAAAATCAATAATATAATAATAATAATAATAATAATAATTGTAATAATAATAATAATAGTAATAAAAAAATGAGGAAACCTTTAAAAAAAATAAAACTGTACAAAGAAAAACTTGGATAATGAAAGGAAAAATATATATATATGTATAATTTCTTAATAAAGGGAGAAGAAAAAAAACAACCACATAATATAACCAAGAAAAATATAACTAGCGAAAAATGAAAAACCAAATAAAGAAATTCTGCGGAGAAAAGTACAACCCACCCAAAATGTCCAAAAATGATTTTGCTAGCGGAAAAAAAGTGTATAAAGGGAACAACCATATTGATTTATTATCCATCATAAATGATGAAAGTTAAACATTATCGAACTATCAAGAATTTTTCCTTCATCGAAGTTTGTTATAAAAGATTTTTTTTTTTCTTTCTTTTTTTTTTTTTAATATCTCATCATACCAGAACCTGGTGGCCCATTTACATGATTTGACATATGTTGAGGGACTTGAACATTTGTCATTGCCATTGTTCCTTGTACATTTGTGACTGGAATGCCTCCTTGCATATTACCTGGAACCATTCCAATTGGAATTCCATTATGTCCGACGTTCATTCCAGACATATTTTGTGCAATTCCTCCAACAGTGGGTTGTATTGAATCTAATCCCATAACTCCATTAGCTTGAGCAATCGGACAATCTTTATGTGCAAGTAATAATGTTTTTAAATTAAGAATTTCTTCACGTAAGCTTTGTGCCTGATTCTGCAAAGTCTCATTGTCATTCGTAAGATATTCAACCTTAGCCTGTAAGTTAGCGAGCCATTGTTTCTTACGTTGGCGGCATTTGAGTGCAGCTATATACAACATGAATGTTATTGAAATTACAATTGCTACAAAATTAGAGAATAAGATGAGAACATTTAGATACCTTGACGATTTCTTTCCAAAAAATTCCTTCGCTTTTCTTCGTCCGTCATATCACTCTTAGATTTTTGTCCATTTTTCTTTGCGGGAGGTTGTTCAGAAATCAAACCATCTTCAGCTTTTCGACGTACACTACGAGGAATACTCTTTATAGGACTGGAACTGTCTGATCGATCATCATCATGATCCATCGATTGACCAGTAAGAACCGGTCCTTTATGATGCGATATATTCGAACTTATACCATTAGAATGTGTTCCATTATTTAATATGATCGCAGACTCTGTAAAATCATCTTTTTCGGTTTTTGGCATGATTGTATCTGACATCATGGATACATTTCGATTTATTGTATCTTGTTGAGTCGAAGTCATCATATTTCGATTAAGGGTAGGATTTGCAACCATTACTGTATGACCAAGTGGATTCGTTACCATTACACTGGCCGTAGGCGCACCCGTGCTAGAACCATTATTTATACCAAGCAAATTCGTTGCGTTCACAGAGGAAACCCCAGATTGTATAACACCGGGTTGTGACGTGGAAGTACCCGAGACGGAAGTAACGGAATCCGAGATTGTTTTACGATCTGAATCAGTGAGTGGTTTTTGGACGTTCTGAGCGAACACATTACGACCGTAGTGATCCGTAGCATTCGCGGCACTTGACAATGTCATCACATTCATGAATGACGAGGCCAAACTTGAATTTTGTGTTCCAAAAAGTGCGGCCGTTCGAGGTGATGGATCTGGGAATGAACCGTAAGGAAGTGGGGTGGTTCCAGTACGTCCGGCTCTAAGGTCATCAAACATCATTGAATCTTGTGGTCCCGCTAACATGGAAGGTGATAATGGCCCACTTCGCAGTGATTGTAAATTCCAACCATATTGATCCTCATTAGTAGGGATACCGGCTGATGGGCTTTCAAGTTGTGCAACCGGAGGTAAGCTAGGTTTTGGACTATTCGTTCCGGTACTTTCTGTAAGAGGATTGACACCGGAAAAACTCTGTTCGAATGGATTTGGTTCCAAGTCGTGTTTTGAACATGCAGCTAAAAATCGTGTTGGAGTTTGTTCAATAGTTGGTGGAGGAAGATCTTTAGCGGGGAATTTAGTTGACGCCTTTTTAACCGGCGAGGATGACGATGATGATGATTTAGATGTTTCGGGAGATATGCCGGCTGGAGGAGTAGAAATGTCGGAATCTAAATGAATGTGTTCCATTCACGTTTTTGATTTTTTATTTTTTGAAATTTTTTTTTTTTGTCAAAAAACATTTTTGACATTTGTTTGCTCCTCTCCGAAATCATTCATTATAATGTGATTGGACAAAAATCATCCAATCATTTGATTCATGAGGTGGAAACTATCTTATAATAATCTAAGTAATGATTGTTTTTGAAAGAAACATACCTTCATTTGTAGTAACCGACTTGCTTGATGGTGAATGCATGTTATTTTCAACCATTAATGGGTGGACAAACAACTATAAGATCGAGGTGTCTCCTTAATTTTATGAAATAAATGGGATCGATAAAGTCTCTAAAGAATCAAGCTCAAACATACCTGATGATATTATTTTTACAACTCTCTCTCGACGTGCTTCTTATACACCTCAATATAGCCGTTCCTAACAAATTACAACAAATCGAATTTACATATGTTGGTGAACGCCTCATGAATTTATTATAATTTAATAGTTACCTTGAAAATAAAAAGTCCAATGCGTAATTTAAAATTTTTGAATACTTTTGACAAACAAATATTCGAACAAGGGGTGATAAAACTAATGAAACTATATGATGATAAATAATTTTAAAACTTTCAAGTCGTAATATTCGAAAAGCAATTTCACTAGATTAAAGAGAATCTCGTACCTATTTAAGGAAATAATGCGAAGGAACCCTTTTAAAAAAAGTCGTAAATATTATAATAGTAAAGGTACCTTCAACTAGTTTAAGTAAAACTATAAACCTTTTATAAATAAAATTCGATAAATAAAATAAAGCTCGGCATTCCAATACAAAAGAATATCGTTGGTATTTTTTTATCAGGAATCAAAGTAGCTGATATAGTGAAAAAGAAAAAGGCTGGTGAGAGGTTAAAGTTGTGTGAGTTTTTTTTTTTTTTTTTTTTTTTTTTTTTTTTTTACTGCCACATACAAAAAAGGTCACTGTGTGGTATGGCAGAAATACGATGCCGCATAAAAACTTTGCACCCCAAATTTAAAAGTGGGAGATAATATATGTACAATAGTTATTCATCACTTAAAAGTGACACACAGCCAAACTATTTAAAATTATTATCCATATTTGAATGCATCTAACTCCAGACTTTTAAAGACGATCTTCAAAGATTTGTTTTATTTCTTACCACAGAATTTTTGAGAATTTTGGATGAATTGACGTCTCCTTTTTTAAAAGGAGAGAGCAAGAAAAATCAATAATATCGACAATATAAATTCATTTGATCCAACATATTTATATATATATTTTTTTTAATAGGATTAAAGATAATTCAAATGAATACTATCAATGGTTTGGTTTACTTTTTTTCGTATAAATAAATTGAGTATCATTATATCATATGTTTCACAATATAAATAATTACAATAGGGTTAAATCAAAAAATTATACAAATTTAGACATGCTGAAATTTACATTCGGTAGGATGATTCAATTTATACGTCATAGTTACCTATTTCACTTGGATTTCCTCTATAATGTCTGTCAAAAAAATAACTTTATAATAAGACCAACCACCTGTAGATCGATACAAAACATAAATACTGCGCCAAGAATCTAATAAACAATTATGTTCGTTATCGCACATGACTTGTTTAAACAACCGGCATTTGATTAATATTTCTTATCGCCTATTTATTTTCTTTATATAGGATATGAAGAATTTTCTCTTGATTTCAAATCAGTTTACCAGTTCCCTAACTTATCGTGTAACCAAACTTTGTTTCTGACAAATTCAAATTCTTTTGGATTGAAAAAGATCATGTTTATTTAAATGGCTGAACCTTAAAAATATCTTGTCCCACACATTATTTTAATATACAGTCACATGAATTTTCTCCATTTGGTCTTCCACATTTTTAAGTTCCCAGACTATACAATACACATCACATGCAAATTTTACTTACAATCTTTTTTGCTTTCAATCATCGGAATCATTATCGAAAATTCTTTTGTAACATGCTAAAAACTTGTCTCCATTGTTTCGTTCCACCTTTTTCCCTTCCTCCGTTGCGGTTCGAACATGTGGAACGACAGGATCCGTTTCCTAAATCCCGTAATTATATTGGTGAGTTAACCAGCATCACCTCAAATATTTGTCTGCGCAAATGAAAGTTCCTTATTAATTACCACTTCGTCTTCTGAAATGCGCTCGAAAAGTGGATGTTCTTCTAAATGTTTAACCATCCATTCATGCAAGTCTTTCACATCTGTGATCGTATAAATTATACCGCCAACACGCAAAACGTAGGCGTATTCTGATAATAGTTGATTTCTGGAAAAGTAGAATTCAAATTCATTTAAAAAAAAAAGGTCCAATTTGCAATGACCTCCTTTACACATTAAACTCACGTGATGATCCTAGCCTTATGCTTTCTGGTTTTAAAATGCGGATCTGGAAATAAAAAGAACATTTTTGACAACTTTACCCAATATTTTAGATGTCAAGGTATTTCCATAATTGGCTAAAACTTGTTTAAAAGAAATGCTTACTTGTCCTTTCTCAAAAAAGTTTGGTAAGAATTTCATGGCATTCATCCTTATAATGGATATGTTCTGATATTGTCCAAAATTCTGCGCCCTTAATGCGTTGATTCGTTCGCGAACATATTCTTCAACTTTTACTCGAATTTCCATACCTTTATTATGTTGAAAATCCAAGGATAAAAAGGATATGGATAAAGATTAATCATCAAGAAATTAATTGGAATGATTCATTTACCTAACATTAAAGTGTCTGGAAATACAGTGGATAACGCAACCAACAATCCCCCATATCCACAACCAAGGTCTGCAAATTCAACTTTTTTTTGAATTGATGGTGGATTTTGTTGTGTACTAGAAGCCTGATCATTGTTATCATTTTTCAAAGTAAAGAATTCTGGATAATGCCTAGACCAATCCATGTGAGCGGGACTTACTGGGCTATTTTGTCATGCACGACGTTTTCAAGAAATTTAAATGTGATTAAATTGGAATTAAAAGGTAATTTAAAAAAATGAAACTGATAGTTACTATTCGAGGTAGTGATCGGAAAATGGGTTTGAGTGGGCTCGCTGTCGAAAATATCGTTTCTGAAAATAACTTAAAAGGTTGGAACGTGTTTTATTATGAAATTGATTAATTTTTAGTAAGTGAAAGTTCACCTGGGGTAGTTTGGCTGACATGTTTGCAATTTTTTTTTTTTTTGAAGTTGAATGAGAACCTTATATATCATGTTCGCAGATTTCGAAAATCGTCACATACAACCAACCAATCAAATTTAATATGCTTGAAAATATTTTAAATCGATTTTTTCCCTCCAGTTTCAAGCGTTGTCTGTACAACGACGGGCCGTCACATGATTTTTTTACGCGTTAGTCAATCGCTTAAGCGAAAGGAGCTTTTATCGTTTTTATATCCAATCAACTTTTTATTAACACATGTCGTTCAGATGAAAATATTTCGATATGCGATTTACTTCTCATGTGGTCTTATCCTTTTTCCAGTTCAAACAGCTGCGCCACACTCTAATTTGGTCGGTAGGTAGCACAACGTTGTAAAATCCAACACCCAGTTCCCCGACTTACGCAAAGTCTACAACAAAGTTAACTCACGAGACAATTTTTTGATTCTCTGGTATCATTAGTAAAAAATGTCGAGCAAGTACAGTGCGCTTCCAGACATCGTAAGTTCTTCTTGCATTTTATTTGAGCGATTAGCTACCTTGTGAATAAATTTTTAACTGGTTATTTGTATTTGCTCCCTCGCACTAGGACACTCAACCAGATGTTTACGAAACACCAGATTCCCCTGATGAAGCTGAAGTCTCTGACGATGGAGTGAGTTTCAAAGTACTCTTTAAGGTTTTAGCTCATTTTGCAATTCTGAAAATATTATTGTTTCTTTTTAACTAGTTCTTAAATGTGGAAGAGCCCAATGAAGACATCGTCCGTGACAAAATTTCAGTTGGCGAGGCTGTGGATAAGTTTAAGGGTAGCGACGCTAACAGTGATGAATCAGGTATGGCTGATTGAACGCATGATGATTCCTTCAAATTTGATTTACAATTTGATTCAAATTTACCTTTAGAACTCGATCGATTCACTCGCCATAAGAAACAAATGTACAAGAAATTTGTCAATCAGGCCTATTTAGAGAATGAATATGAGATTGTTCCAAGAGACCCTACATTATTAGAAACTCCAATTCAAAAATTGAGAAGGTTGATGTTTGAGGTGCAGGAACTTGGAGAGGAAATTGAGAAAAAAAAGGTAGTTTTACAATCATGGGTAGTTAGTTATCTTTCATCATTGTCACATGATGACATATGTAATCGATTATTTAGGAAGATGCAGAGTTATCTCAGATCCCTCAGAACTCTCAAAGTGTGTTATCAAACTTACATAGCGAACTCTCACGTTTCAGTCAATCCTTGGGTGATACTGATATCTCAGATGATAAAGATGGTGCGATAATAAAACAAGCTGAACTGGGCAAAAAATTGATCAATCAATTGCAGACATTTAAAAATATGGGTATGCCCAAGGAGAATGGAATATCGGAGCAAAAGGATGGATCAATAAATGGTGAACCAACGACAAATGGAACTATAAATGAAAGTAATGAAAGTGCGAAAAATGTGAGTAAAATTTCAAACATAATAATTTCTTTATTTATTTTATTTTACTTCACCTTAATTTTTCCAATGTCTAAATACAAAACTTAACTTGAATTAGATGGTCACATATGAATTGTATTATTCACCTGAAACTACCAGAGTTCACACTTTAGCCAAGACCGTTGATCTCGATGATCGCATCGCCGCCTTAGAAAAACTTGTCGGCACTGCTCATGGTCAAAGTTTCGAGGATCTCGTAAGTCATTCTTGTCAAGTCTTTTGGATTATAATATTGGTTAATCACTCTAATAACAACATGATTCGATGACCTAAACGTAGTCAATTTCGATAACAAACACCAATCTTATTGCCGCCGTGGATAAGCTCGATCAACAAATGCAGATTTTGGCACAACCACGTCACTTGGAATCGGTTTCCCGCAAGGCCAAAACTTTGGTTGGGGAATTGGAAAAGGTGAACGAGCTAAAGAACAAAGAGTTATCAAATGGTGGAGTCATTGCTTTCGAGACAGAAGAAAAGGTAATTTGATTTTCTCAATATTTCTTTATTATGTACTAATCTGTCGTTGTCCTTAAAGTGATATTAATACAAAATTTATGCCTATTGGAAACTTCTTGATATAATAAACAAGATCAAGTATCTCTTCGCCCTCTTGGATAAGCTAGACCCTCTGATGTCCATTGCGCCCTCCCTGGTTAATCGCCTCAAATCTTTACAACAGTTGCATCAAGAAGCTGCAGTGTTCAGTGAGACTATTGATATGTTATCAAATGAGCAGAATAAAATTACCGGAGAATTGAAGAATTTGGACGATGTCGCTGCAAAAGTTTGTGTTTCACCGTAATATTGAATTTTTTTTTCTGCGGTACCTATCATACTTATTCAATTCCTTTTTAAAAATTAGCTTGAGAATTCCTTTCAGGTCAATAACGCGACAATTAATCGAAACATTGAAGCTGTGGACAATCGCGTTGCTGAACTTGCAGAACGCATAGATAAATTGTTGTCAAACCGGAAATAATTAATTTATAATTTGGGATCAACGCGAAATGTTGTTTAATTGTAAGTCGTGGTCGTATATTAAGTTTTTCCAAAACATTGGAATTGTTTGGTCAGTTCTCATTTGACGCATTATTGTTTGGATTGTCAAGTCATTATTTGATACGCGTTATTATTATTATTATTTTACATATATATATATATAGTGCATATATAAATCACATTTATTCAATTATTCCGGCAACAAAACCAATTCTGTTTGATAATTATACGATAATAATTGATTGGATATATCTTAAAGGGACTGTATGGATTGTTAGCTACTAAGAGTTGTTTAAGCAAATCATTTTTTTTTTTTTTTTATTTATTATCATTACATATAATATGTTTTAACTTTATATTTAAATAAAGGTTTTGGAACGAAATATCATTTTTAAATTTTCATGTATTATATGTAGTGACAAATAAGGCTCAAGCTGATTAATGATAATGTTTCTTTACATGACATTCTTGTATTATTTGTGCGAGCATAGCTTCATAGAAATAAAAATTTTCCACCACGATCGGGAGGTATAATGGCACATACAATATATAAATTTATCATGGTGTCAAGAACATTTTGGATCACTTGGAAAAAATATGAATTACATTAAAAATTTAATTAAATGGATTAGTCGTTCAGTAAGCCCAGGGCATGTCCACGAGAAAAAGAGGAAATCGTTCAAGTCATTTTTTATCCAACTTGAGCTTGCGAAACGTGTATTTGATATTGCAGCAATACATTACCCGAATAAATAATGTATTTAATCAATAAACACAAAATAAAACAAAAAAAAAAAAAAGATAATAAATTTAAAAGAAATATAAAAATATAAAAATGATGATAAAGTTTTTCTTATTACATTCATTCTCTTAGAGGTTGGGAAGTCATGATTATTTAGTATTATTCTACTGTGCTACTTGAAGTTTCTGACGAAGATCCTAGGAGATAATTCAAATGCCAAGGCGATATATAAAAACTTTATCACGATTGTCATTTGAGTAAACTGCATAAAAGTTTGATTCAAAACGGGTAACCGTTTGTTGACTAATAAGTCATATAAAAATGTTCGACAAAAGCTTTACTGCTTCCCAACTGAACTTACCAAAGAGAACGGACTTTAATTGTAAAAAAGAAGAAAATTAGAAAGCGTACGTTTGATGGTTTGATGTAATTCTTAAACTTCTGGTTCGAGATTACCCACCACAATTCATAAATAAATTTGTTTATCAGAGGTTATATAGGGAAATGTAAAGATTTGGAAAGAACCTTTTTATTAGGTTTACCAATAAGACGGGATATCTAACCTAAAAAAATGAAATTGGGACCATTACAACTTAAAAAGAGTTCATCCAAAGATACAAATACACTAATCAAAATCATTAATTAATAAACAATACTCCATTATAAACCAACCGGTTGATATCTGGTCTGAATAAACAATAAAAATGTCTAGAATTTGATAATTTGGGTTCAAATTGATACACGGAAGTTTTATTGACATAAATTGTATAAATTGTGAAACATTATTATATTATACATGGAAGAATTCTATTCTAAATTTAAATTTCCGATTTCATCCGTCATAAATACATGTAAATTATAAACTAATAGCATAACTACTAAATATATCACTCCCAAAATTATAATTAGATTGAGGAAAAATTTTGTCGTAATCTTGTGCTTCAATTATATTGGGAAAGTTTCCATGGGTAGCAGTTGTGGTAGAAGTCGGCATAATAACAGGCTGTTGTTGAGGCTGTTGTTGAGGTGGTTGTTGTTGAGGTGGGTTACTTACGATCGCGGGATTAGTCAAACGATGTCTGTGTCGTGTTTGTGTTTGTGTTTGTGAGTTGATTCTGATTCGATTTCGTTGCGGTATAACGCATGGTCGTTGTAAGGTACGAGGACGAAGATGAGGAAAGGTAAAACGAGTAGTTGAACCGGTACGAGTGGTTCTTGTACGAAGAGTTGAATTTACGCTTGAATTTGAACCCGAACGAAAGGTTCTAGGACGACGAGTTGAATTTGTACTTGCTGAACGGGTGATTCCAACACGAAGGGTTGAATTTGCACTTTGATTTGAACGTGAACGAAAGGTTCTACCGATGCAAGGAATCGTATTTGAACAGGTCGTAATTATGGTCATATTCTTATATGTTATAATATAAATAAGTTATTTATATATTTTTCCTTTTCCGAAAAGCAACCTTTTTTAAGATTCAGGAATAAGAATATTTCTCGATTTTTTTTTTAAGCGTTATGTTTGCTTACTTTTATAAATTTTTCTCTGTATATTTTTTTAGAGTAAAAGTAACACATTTTTTAATATTGTAATGACAATTTTAGAAGGTACAAAAAAATATATATTATAACAATAATAGTATAAATAATTTAAATTAAAGTTTACTAACGCCAAGTTCATAAACGGGAGAGATCAACATATAAATAATTTAAATTATATGAATAAAAAATTTTTATTTTATTTCATTGAAATTTTTTTTTTAAAATAAGGACCCCTTTATTTTTTAATATATATATATTTTTTTTTTATCAGGTGTTTTTTATTTTTTTTTTTCTTAATCTGTTTTTTTTTGTTTTATTTTTATTAACAACTTCACAATTTCTTGGCTGCTCGAAATGGTAAGCATAAAACCGCTTTCCTTTATTTCCAGCACTACTTTTCAAAATTTTCATTCACCTTCTGTTACTATTATGTGAAGTGAATTTGGACATCTACTTGCTCATTTTATTTTAATTTATTATTTTATTTTTTTTTTTTCATTTGAATATGGGAATAGCTTCTTTCACGTTCCCAACTTTACTAGACCAATGGTTTTGTGATATCTGTTTCTAATAAACGTGGCGTGACCGGTCATAACGCAAAAAAACGCATTGCTAGCATGGATTAAATACATGGTCTCCGTTGGAAACAGAAATGTTTCAAATTCACTTTCACATCAAATTTTGTTGTTACATCTCATTTCCGGCCGAAGGGGGTGGTTTTGAAGATTATTAAACTCCATGTGATGGTTAGAACAATTTCAACTTTATGAAAATTACATTAAATAAGATAAAATAAAAAAATTTTTTTATTTTATTTTTTTTTTTTACTATTATAAAAAGATTTAAGAATTTTATGCGTGAAATTTTTTTTTTTTTATTCTTGCTACTCGATTTATCTGGTTCGGAGTATTTTCCGAAGTTACACCTACTAATTTGTATTACTCTAAGAAAATTAACATAAAATTTCTTCGGGATTATGATATGATTGTGTTTGCAAAAAAATTCATTTCCAATCAAATGAAAAGATCTCGTCGGTTATTGTTAGCATTTATCATGAAAGGAGTGTTACCTCTAAAAGTTTTCAATTCAATAAACGAAAGACTAATCAATTATTTCATGATCGATAATAAGAAAAAAAATTATCTCTAATGTCAATTAATGACGTAGTGAAACATTTTTCCAATAAAAAATATCAAATAAAATAAAATAAAATAAAATTAGAACAAAGGATATTCGGAGACAAGGAACAGGAATTATTGACCACATTTGATTTACTTTGATTTTCATTTGTATATTATCTTGTTTTTTGAAAATACAATTAAATACAACGTTACCTGGGAAAAAATTTTACGCATGTTTATGTATGCATCATAAAACCAGGTAATGATTCTTCAAATATTGTTGAAAATGTGGAGATGAAATAGATCCCAGTTCGTTTATTCGTTAGTGATTTGATTGCGTGGGTTACATTTGTTACACTCGAAATTTGATTGGGGTGATCTCCTGTTGGGATTGATACGTAAGGTTTGGTCGTTGAAATAAGTGAAGGCCCGTGCAAAGGATTTCTGGTAAATCTAATTTTTTTTTATTTTTATTTTTATTTTTTTTTTTTATGTTCATCAAAGGTTAGCGATGAGTTGGATGAAAGGTTCAGATCATTGGAACCAATCGTGAACCGATTATTATGGTGAATATGAAGTAAGATTAAAAATATTTAAATGAAAGAATTATAATTTGTTTTCCTACAAAAACCATGTTGTATTACGACCCTGTTCTCTATAGGAAAAAAAATTTTCTCCAAGGAAAAAAAAAGAATTCCTTAGATTGATCACAGCAGGAAATTATTTGGAATATTCTTTTCATAGGTTTTATATTGATTAACCACTCGATTATTGATGATGATCAGTACCAAAAGTGTTTTTATAATTTTTTTTAAATCCAAATTAAACAAATAAATATTTACTCTTAATCTCTAATTATTAAAGGGCATTCAAGACATCTTAATACCAATTTTGTTATACTCAAATCATTGTTCTAATCAAAAATGATTGGTTCAATAAAAAAAAAATATAAAAAAGGATTTATTCGACAAATAAAAACACCCCAACAACTTTTTGACTATCTATATAATTAATTAATAATATCCATCAAATGTTATACAGTACATACAGTCCCCTGAACGTTCCCCCATGTACCTTTTTTTTAATGATTTCTTTCAACCTTGTTAAATAAAACCTATGAACAAAATTTGAGGCTTAACCATTTTTATCCAAAAAAAATTTTTTTTTATTAATGTTATTTAATGCATGATAATTTAATTAATTTATGTTAAATGTCAAATTTTTTGTTTATTAACACATTTGGAATCAACCATTAATAATAATTAATATTATAATAATACTGTATAATAATTAATATATATCGTATATATAAAATTTTATATGAAATGAGATTATTTAAAAGTCCTAGTTACCAATCACATCTTTTCCTCCAAAGGTATAGGAATTTTTGGGGAAATATCATCAAAGTTTTGTGCATTGATTAAATCGGGTAAATCAGTAGCGGTAAGAGCGATTGTCCGTTTGCCGTTGTTGAGGAGGAGGTTGTACAAAGTTACTTCTCATAGCAGAAACGCTTTGAGAAAGGGTAAAGGTACGATTCAATTGATACGAACGTCGTCTAATCCTTGGGTGTACAGCAGACACATAAGGACGAACGCTGATTTGATAAGTTGAAACTTGTCGTTGTCGAATTGGTTGATAAACGTCACTTTGAGAATTTCTTTGATTGTGCCCCTGCGGAATAGCTTGAATGCTAGGAATCGGAGATTGTAACGATGGATTATTAACATGTTGTAAATGGATGGAATCGTTTTCATCATTATCATTGGATCCGGTTTCGAACCGATCATTGACCATGTGCTCTAGGAAAGACATTTTATTTCATCATCCAAGAAAGGAGATCATTCACTTTATTGGTAATTTATTTATCGTTATCAATAATTGTGTTTAATTATTATTGTTGTTGTTGTTATTGTTGATGGTTTTTTTTTTATTTTTGGATCGATTTTATAAAAAATCTGATTATTCATTTTTTTTTTTTTTATTTTTTTTCGCGTGAGTAAATTTTCAGAAAAATCAAGTTTAATTAAGCTTTTTGCCGATTACCATGTGAATAGATCCAAATGATTCCTGACACATTAGACATCTCACGGGGGAGAGGTCAAAATGTACATCGTTTATGAGTTTCCCCACAAAATTTTCTATAAAAAAAGCATTATCAAGTGTGATCATCTTCTTAGTAATACCTATTTCAAATCGAACTATCGTGATAATTCAAAACCATGAGACTTATTAAAATATTTATGTATAATAATGTTCCTTTCCACCAATCATATCATGTACTGCGTGAGTATTGCATAAATGAATCGACCCTTCTACCTATCTACATTCAATTTACCTAATTTAATGAGGCCTTTTTGTTGAATGCATGTATGTTTATTAGATGACTTCGATGATTTCAACTACATTTAATTAATCGAATCATCTTTTATGGACGTAGCGTAGATTAGTCCAGAAATTTATTTGACTACTTGACCGGATTGCCCCACGCCATCTTTTGACGGATGTGGCAAGTATTTTGTGGTAATATTTTATTTTTCATGAGATAAATTCGTATTTTAAGGTTTTCATGTCGATGATATGATGGATGGATGGATATGAGCCACTACATTTTATTTTTTTTTAGATGAAACTTTTTTCCGAAAAATTATGCACATAAAAAAAAAAAAAAAAAAATTTTTACCCCACTAACATCATAATATATATTTATATTTTATATTTAATTATAAATATTTCATTGATATAATAAAAAAAAAAAAAATATTTTTTTTTTACTTTATGAAAAACCTTTTTTTTATTATTATATATTTTAATGTTGGTCTCTGTATAAAAAAAAAACCAATTCTCATGCGCCATCGAAATCCTCCGAGCGCAAATATGCAGGGTCCAGAAAACCTGGAGTTCGATTAACTTCTTATCAATATGACCTTTGTGGAAAAGTGAAAGAACTAAGGCGACAACAACAAAAAAAAAAAAAAAAAAAACGACAAAATGGGTCTTTTCTGCACAAATTGGTGCTAGGTTATTTTGATGGTATTAAACTAGTCCCTCAAAAGTTTCAACATATTGTCAATGATATTTCTTTGACTTGATGAATTTCAACAGACAAAATTTAATCATTTGGGAAATGATAATGCTACTTCATGTGATGACCAAAAGCTAAAACTTGGCGACTTTCAAATAGGTTAATCTGGAACTCACATGATAATGAAAAGAAATTCGCGCAAGGAAAAGTGTATTTACAAAGGTGAATGGGCACATCAAATCCTTGATGGATTAGCAATGATAATGAATAAGATTACATAAAATAAAACGCTTGGCTTTATTATAGGTTTAGGGGGTAATAATTTATCAACATCAATATTTTAACCAATAAACATTTCTGACGTGATTAAGTCATATACTCTTTAGTTGATTACGTGTAACAGCAAATGAAAATTAGATAAATCATAAATATAGCGCGCGTAGGTTTGAAAATTAATTGAAAGATTAAAATACCCTTTAGCTTTAGAAATGTCTTTTATTAGTTTAACGCATCCCTCAAAGCTCCAAACTCGTTATTTCAAGCACACGTAATAGTTATTATTTCATTTTATAAACATTACCATTGGTATCTCCACCGGGATTCTGAGAATTGGTTGAATAAAACTCCGTTCCAGAGTTAACTTCTTCTGGATTGACAGCAGGATCAACATGACTCTGTGATGGTGAGAATGGATATGCATTTCCAGAATATACATCGAATGCACCCTCTGGTGATTGAGAAATTGATTGGTTGGAGTTTTGATCTGTCATAAATTGACTGGGCGTCCGTTGCGATTGATTCGATTCAGCATTTAAATCGGGCGGTATTGATGATGACTGATTTTGTCTTTCCACATATTCCGGTTGATTCTGTTCGGTCATGGAATTGAATGGTAATGATGATGATTGATTTTTTCCATTCCTGTATTCAGTTTGAATTTGTCCGTGTATGGAATTGGATGGTAATGATGATGACCGACTCTGTCTATTCAAAATAAATTCAGGATGGGCAAATTGTGATGGTTTATTCTGTCCTGGTGATGACTGATTTTGTCCATCCGCGTATTCAGGTTGATAATGTCCGCGTATGAAGTTGGACTGTAATGAATATGACTGATTACTTTGTCTATTCATAATAAATTCAGTAGCGGCTAATTGCGATGGTTGATTCTGTCCTGGTGATGACTGATTTTGTCCAGCAATAACTTCAGTTTGATTCTGTCCAGGCGTGCAATTGGATGAAAATGATGATGACTGACTTGGTCTATTCATATTAAATTCAGTAGCGGCAAATTGTGATGGTTGATTCTGTCCAGGTGATGATTGACTTTGTCTATCCACGTATTCAGGTTGATTTTGCCCGCGTATGAAATTGGATGGTAATAATGATGACTGACTTTGTCCGTGCATGGAATTGAATGGTAATGATGATGACTGACTCTGTCTATTCAAAATAAATTCAGTAGCGGCAAATTGTGATAGTTGATTCTGTCCTTGTGATGTCTGATATTGCCCATCCACGTATTCAGTTTGATTCTGTCCGGGTATGAAATTGGATGGTAATGATGATGACTTACTACTTTGCCTATTCATATTAAATTCAGTAGCGGCAAATTGCGATGGTTGATTCTGTCCTGGTAATGACTGATTTTGTCCAGCAATAACTTCAGTTTGATTCTGTCCAGGCGTGCAATTGGATGAAAATGATGATGACTGACTTGGTCTATTCATAAATTCAGGAGGCGACGGTTGATTTTGTCCAGGTGATGACTGACTTGGTCCATTCATAAATTCAGGAGGCGACGGTTGATTTTGTCCAGGTGATGACTGACTTAGTCCAACCATAACTTCAGTTTGATTTTGCCCGGGATTATAATGTTGACTGAACGAATAAATAGGAGCGGGTTGTGACATTTGATTTTGTCCAGGCTGAAATAGCGACTGAGCTTCAAAATATTGTACCAATTGTTCACTTTCATTTTGTTGAGAGCGAAGAAGTTGTTTCAATTGAGTTATTCTGTCTTGGTAAAGTTTTATCTCCTGGTTTATTTTATATATGTTCACGGAATTGGAATTTAACTTATGAAGTTTGTCACGAATAGAACTATTGTTGGTATTATTCAGATACATGTTTTTTGATTGTTAAAGAAAACAATGAAAAGAAAATAAATAATTTACAAAGTAAAAGTACAAATGAGAAAAAAAAAAGGTGAAGATGTCAATATGAAATTTTATATTAGCGAGGTGCTTAATTCAATATAAAAACGATATTTATATTAATTTTTAAAGGTTTCCCCCAATTATAATTGGATAATAATTTAAAATTAAAAGGTTTTTTTTGATGAATTCGACTATGCGTACATACTTTTGATATTTTATAATTCGATTAATGATCCGTTTTTTTATCAAATAATAATTAGCATTTATACAAAAATTTTTTAGATGTAAAAAAAAGGGGGCTACCAAATACCATTACACTACAAAATTGGTTATATTGGTTACATTATATATATATATAAAAAAAAGAAGAAAAAAAAAAGAAAAAAAAAAAATAGCTTATAATAATTATTTACTTTATAATTAAACTTTACTTTTTATCTGACTTTATTGCAATCCCTAAATTTTTATTCTACTTATTATTACACGATTTTGTATTCATATTTTTTTTATCAATTTGTTCAAAATTTTAATTTAATGTATATTAAACCAATAAAAATAATATACAATAAATGCTAAATGATTTGCTTTTTTATTATTGCTATTACTATATTATTATTATTAAATTATCTTAAGTTAAAATAAATAATTTACAAAATGAATGCTATTCTAAAACTCAAATTCCTGCTTAAAAGCGCTCAGATCTCTGATATCGCACTTATTTTCTAAATCAGGTCTATCCAAAAATTTACAACAAGCTTTAAGTGTTGCCCAGATATTTGAACTCATCACGCCTCCAGCAACACTATGAAATGAACTATCTTTGTTTAATTCATCACTTGTGATCGCGTTGGTTTCACCAGTCTGTAATGCAAGGGCTGCGAGTAAATGTTCGGCCGCTTCTCGATATTCTTTCATGTTAATGAAAGAAATGGCGAGATTATATCGAGCACGAACGTACAATGGATTTATTTCAAGGGCATTAAAATAAGCATTCACGGCCTTTTCGGATTCACGAGCATTTGCTAAAGTTGCTCCAAGTTTATTCCAAAGAAGATAGTCCTAAATAAAGAAAATAATCTTTTTAACTAAAAACTAAAAACCTATCAAAAGAGTTTACTTAAAGGTGACTTACATTAGGCCTCAAAGAGAGAGCTGTTTGAAAACAATCCACTGCCTTATTGTATTCTTCGGATACATTGTATAGTATGCCCAAACCAACTTGGACATCTGGATCAAGATTCTCTCCGGGATTTAAAAGTGCCGCTTGTATAAATAGGTCCGTGAAAAAACTGTGAGGATCAACAAAGTTGCCTTTTGCACGTTGCTGTTCTAACAATTGTTTATATTTATGACTATGATCAAACCATGATTCCAATACGCTATAAACATCATCACGTTGGTACTCATTTGTGTAAGAAACTGCCAAAGACATCCAAGCGTCCAATATTTGAGGATTCAAAGCAACAGCCTTACGTAATGCCGCTATTGCTTTCGGCTCCTGCTCATTCTCTTGTTGCCTAGTACCAAGTTGATACCATGCATTTGAGTCATTCGGGTCTATTTGAACCTTTGCTTCTAAAATTAATATAGAGTCCGCTAGAATTTGCTCTTTTGTCGTTGAAGTCTCTGGTAAAAGATTTGGCGTAGTGAGGTAAGGATTATTTGGATGAAATTCATAAATGTCATGTAAAGGGGGATCGAGTGAGTATCCCGTATTGATAGGTCTATATTTTTCCCAATCACTCTGCAAATCTTCCATAGTTTGATCTATAGAATCTTCTTTATAATCCTTATAATCTTTCATCCATTCATCTAACGCTGGAGTTGCGTTGGAATTGTCTTCATTTATCCGATTATGAGCTTTCTGAAATTCTGTAGCCCAGCCTGAGTCAAATTCATTAGATGCTGCTCTTAAAGTTGAATCT